TGCACGTATTTTCCAATGGTTTGGCGGGAACATGCCCCAGATTGGCCATCATGAAGCTCCGCTACTGGTGTGGACCCTACTAAAAGATTTGTTGGTGCCTTGAGATTGGAACGGAAGAGTTGTCTTTTCATAACTCATTTTGAAACTTATGAATGAGCGATTTTATAGAAAACATTGGAGAAGTGGAAGGCACTTGCCTCTTAGAAATCACTTCTCCATTCTCGAAGTAAATATTTTTGTGTGGTGTGCCCCCCCTCCACACACACACACGCACACACAAATTGTTAGAAAAAAATGTGCTTATTTTAGGTATGCAAATGTATATATTTCTCCAGTGGCAATTATACACCTTTAGTTGCCTCTAAATACATGCCTGTCTTTCTGCGTGTCTACTACAACAAGTTTGGCCCGTTTCCGGTGGGGGTGGGGGAGTGGGCAATGACGGTGGCGCGCCTTCGGCTCGCTCAAGTGATTATAGTTGTCGCTAGGCGGTTCATAGGCTTGGTTTTATTTTTTATTAGTCTAATGTTTTTTATACTGTCATGATTGATTATGAGTATACCTGAAAAAAATTATACACCTTTATAAATAATGGAAGAATTAATGTATGCCTTTTATTTCAAATGCAGTTCTCTTACTTATTTTGTCATTCAAGGATAACAATGCTTTCTGGGTAAGTCTTTGTTAAAGAGCAAGGGTGCCTAAACTTCAACTCAATCATGAAGATATTGTTTACTAATGGCTTGTTGTGGCTTATGGTAGGATGCTTACCGCCTCGTCACCGAGTTGATCTGGTTAGTATTTGGTGTAAAGCTATTATTGCTATGTTGTTCCATACCACACAAATAATCTTGTCTAAATAATTATCTGTTCATCTCAGGTTCATTGCTCTGGACGTGTACTTAGTAGCTGTCACCTTTGAAATTATCGACGAGGAGGATCCCAGACCCGAAATGCTAGGAATTTACAAGATACTAAAAACCAAAGGGGGCCTGACGAGGGTGATAAAGAATTGGAATTCGAAAGATTGGTAGACCGCGCGAGCACACCGTTCAATGCTCATGTTGGTTGGGTGTAGTTTCTCGCCGACTGCTTTCAAATAATTAAAGAAAACCACACGCCACCTTGACTTGCCAGGATCAAGAAAGGCACAGGGTTTACGCCACTGACAACCGAGCGATGGCAGTAGCTTTCATCAGATCAGAGTTAGTTGACGACACGTTTTCATGGGCGTCCGTACCTTCGTGTTGTTGTTAGTGGCAACCACCAATATTTTCCTTCCATGTTTCTTCAAAAAATTGCTCGTACCACATGCTACGCTGTCTCTCATTTTTTTCTTTGTTATTATTCATAATAACATATGGTAGTGTTAGTAATATTAAACACGACTGACAACAAACTCTCCTTTTTTTGGATTCTAAAAAAAATCTCCTTTTTTTGTTGGTGTCGGCTAGATCTTGTCATGTATTTTTTTTATTCTACTGGTTAAATTGACTATTATTCATCTATAGCTTGCTACGTTATACATCAGCATGTTGCGCCCAACAAAATTAACCACATATGCCATTCTGGTTCTTTCAATAATGGGGAGGACCCAAAAGTACCATTGACACAATACTGTAGAAAGGACCCTAAAAATTATAAATTGCAACTAGGTCCTTCCTCATTGCAACAAGGACCACAAAGATGGCACTAATATAATAATGCAATCTCGTCCTGATGCAAACGACTTCACCGGAGACACATTGATCGCCGCCTCCAATCAACACCTTGCCAACAACGGGTAGGTTGGAGAAGGTACTTCAAAAACTTATGTTGAGCTGATCTTCATTTTCGGTGGCTGACATTGATGCATGGCCGAAAGGAGGATGAAGAGCCACCAGGCCCGCTTACTAACCCCATAAATGAATGGATCTGAGAGGGTTGAGCATAGATCCATTGCTCTCTTTCCTTTTTCCCATGGCATTGAAGAGAGAGGGGAGATGACGCCGAATTTGCTTGGTCTGGCGGTCTGCCCGGTTTATTGGAGGTGTTTTCACTAGATCGACCTTCCTCGCCATCGTCCTCCATGGGTGACTAGAAGAAGAACCAAGCCACGTGTTGATGCCACTAGCATCAGAGGCCATACCTACATGACCTGAAGCCATACGTCACATGGACTACCCTAACCTAGACTCAAACATAAGTCTGTTAGAGTTGTGTCGAATATTGTGTACAAGGTAGGTTACAGTTGGACTCTGAGTAGTATTGTGTTTAGATAGGATATGGAGTCCTAGTAGGACACTTGTATCCTAGGCCTCTCATATATAGCGGGGTAGACACACGATGTAATTTATGCCAACATAATAGCACAGACGCGCAAGGAGGAGCCGGCGGCGTGTGCCGGCGCCCGGGTGGCCGGTGTGCGGTATTGTGACGGTGTCACGGGGAGGAGCGCCCGTAGTCAGGCCCCGGAGATGTAGCCATATTGGTGAACCTCGTTAACAAATCTCGGTGTCGTGTTCGTGTGATTGCTTGATCCTCGGATGATCAACGGTATTGCCTCTGATTTATTCTAACAAGTGGTATCATGAGCAAGGTTTCGAGAAAGCTACGGATCGGTGATCGTATATCAGCGGACGCAAAGCGAATCAAGTTGAGACCGAGTTCTCGAGAAGATCGGATAGCAGCAGACGGCGACGGCTTACGGTGCAAACAGCAGCGGATCGATCGGCGCGGTGCCTGGAAGCGGCCCGGTTGTTGGGTGCGCGTTGGGTCTGAGGCCGGATGCCCATGTGTGGCTGCTGCAGCTGGGACCCGGAGGGGCGCACGGGCCGGACAAGGTTCAGGCCGTTGACAAAGCGGTCCACGCGGGGGGTTTTGTTCTTTTGGGAGAGCTTGGAGATGTGCTGACGACGTGCAAGATTTGTTTTGGACCAAAAGAAGGGACCGAGTGCCCGGAGGAGACGCGCTCTCCTCGTATTGCAGCCGTAGCCGTGAAGCACCAAAGGCAGCTCTTCCTACATGGCATCGGGAAGGTAAAGGCTTGGGCATGCAAAACTAGCATTTGAAGTTGTGCAAGGGAGCTACTCCACGTGAAGACCAGAAGCTATTCTTTGGATTTGCAACTAGTATACTTGGTGTACATGGGGATCACGGAAAGATTGCTCGGTATGTTTTTTTCACAGATCAGCTATACAAAGAACCATGGAGCCAACGGGTATCAGGTTTGAGGTGGAGACGTTCGACGGAATTGAAAACCTTGGGTTATGACAGACAAAGGTGAAAATTTGTTGGCACAACAGGGATGCTTGAAGGCGTTGCGGGATGTCAAGCCAGATGGACGATGAGCACTGTGAGGAGTTGCAGTTGGTTGCAGCCGGGATAGTTCGGCTGGGTCAGACTTGTCAGTCTGATGGATCGACGTAAGTCGGTTGATACAGAAGACGGTGATGGAATCGGCGACGACGACATAGGTGCACGATGCTGATAGTGACCGACTTTTCGGGCGTGGAAACACATGGCACATGCCCGAGTGCTTGTGTGACTTCGACAAGGCTATGGCGCTGGGTTGATTCAAGACGGTGCACATGAGAGCTTGAAGACGACGGAGCGCGGGGTGGACTGATCATCTACCATGGAGTCATGTTGAAGGTGGAGCTGGATTGAGGGGCTATGGTGTAAGGATTCAGGGAATCGAAGCCTATTCAGCAAGGGGGGAAAAGCGAGTGACATGCAGTTCGGACTGGAGCCCAGTGGTCTGATGGAAGCGTTAAACTCGTCATCGGTCGGTGATGATCGATGGTACTCCGCAGTGGGGGTTGAGTGGTGTGGGTTCGCCACCCTTGAGACCCGACCGAGACAGCAGAGGCTCGACGCGGTAATAGCAACGAGGCGTGCGGTACACACGAGACATGGAGACGGGCCAGGGCTTTGGTAGTCATACATGTGGTGAGACAACTGCGAGTTTGACTCAGGATGACTACAAGCAACGGTGAAATTCTTTCAAGTTTCAGACATGCGGTCAAGAAGGAGCGGTGATGTTGAGTCCAGGTAACTCTTATGTGTGACACCCAATATGTGAGTTGTTCACTTTCACACAGGTCAGTGATCAGTGTGTGATGGTGTGGACGGATACTCTGGAAGTTGGGAGCACAAAATAGAGTAAGGGGAATTTAATCTTGCTCGAGTGTTGACTATGGTCAAGAAAAGGAGAGACTACAAGTTGCAGGTGGAGTCACATGGAGTCTTTGTGGAGTAGCAGCGGTACTCATGGGATAAACTCAAGTCCAATGTACATGGAAGTTTGACGCATTGACAAATTCATGGTGGTGGAGAATATTCGCCAATGTGGAGTTTGTTAGAGTTGTGTCGAATATTGTGTACAAGGTAGGTTACAGTTGGACTCTGAGTAGTATTGTGTTTAGATAGGATATGGAGTCCTAGTAGGACACTTGTATTCTAGGCCTCTCATATATAGCGGGGGTAGACACATGATGTAACCTATGCCAACATAATAGCACAGGCGCGCAAGGGAGAGCCGGCGGCGTGTGCCGGCGCCTGGGTGGCCGGTGTGCGGTATTGTGACGGTGTCACGGGGAGGAGCGCCCGTAGTCAGGCCCCAGGGATGTAGCCATATCGGTGAAGCTCATTAACAAATCTCGTTGTCGTGCTCGTGTGATTGCTTGGTCCTCAGATGATCAACGGTATGCCTCAGATTTATTCTAACAAAGCCTACTACCAACAACAATGGCGTGACTTCCTCTCCTACCACTCATTCAGCCAATGATGTAGAGGGAGGAGGGGAGAGGGATCAAGGATCTTGGGGAGACTCTTTAATATGGTGGAGGAGAGAGAAGGGAAGGAAAGAAATGAGATGTCATCTCGGACATTTCATGAAGTCCGACACCACATGGGAAACCCTAGCCTAGACCTAAACTTTTCTTTTGCGCAGAAGGCCGGGAAAACTTAACATTACTATCAACAACGACGGGAGAAACCTCGTCTCCCACCCTGATCATGGACGGCCCGACCCAAGGCCAACCCAAAAAATAAGGATGGGTTGAATCGAGCTTGCCTATCAACTCGGGCCTAGGCTTTGTTTTGCATCCCAAAAGAGTGTTCGGATCAGAGGCTTCTATATTACAGTTTTTTGAGCCATACTTCAGGCCGGGCTTGCATGTGTGCAGATTAGAAAGCAATATTTGGGCTGGGCTTTTGGGCTCATGCATGAGGGAAGGGACATTTTTGAGCTTCGGGCCGGGCTGAGGCTTTTAGTTTGGGATTCAAGCCTTTTAAAGACCAGCTTGAAACCTGGGCCAAAATATGCTTAGGTTTAGCGCCATCCATTGGAAGTGATCGAGTTGGAGTCGCAGGCTAGGTTTCCCTCGTGGTATGCACCTTCTTTTGTGACCACGGGTAGCATGTAAGAGCCCCGAGCTTAACAGGTTTCCCTATGCACTTTGAGAGAGGAGAGAACAACTTGGCTAGCAACCATGTCGTACCATGCATAATATGTCACGCAGTATATATGTCGCATCCATCCATGTGACGTAGCTAGTCAGTGTAGGCAAAGGGTGATCCATAATATATCACAGTGTAGTACACCAGGTAATCGGTGTTGTGGCGTATGTAGGCAGAGTTAACGCCCAAGCCCCTGATTAGGGGTGTCCTAAGTGAGGAGGTCATTGATGAGATCGAAAATCCTGTCATTGATCCGGTTTGGGAAGACAAAGTCGATGTTGTTGATGTGGATGAAGACATCGTCGAGGACGACTTTGTGGATGGCTATGCATAGGTTCTACATGATATTGTGAGGACCCCCCCTCCCATCGATCACCGTCAACCATGGGCGATGTTTCAAAATGTTACCTATAACAGAGTGAATTGCAAAAAACATCGAAACTTCAGGCTAGGTTTGCAGGAACCACACATATACGAAATTGTGCCAAAAAGCACTATTTTTTTCATATTTTTTGCAAAAAACACTGGTTGCTCGTTTGGACCGTTTTAAGTGTGTTTATGACAGGGGGCCCGCATCCGTCAACGTGGCTGC